TCTTTTAATAAAGAAATTCAGTCTTTGAAATTTGATTTAGGCTTAAGTTTTTATAATTAATAAAAACTATAATTATATTAAAAAATGATATATATATATATATATATATATATATATATATATATATATATATATATATATATATACACACACACAAACACACACACATAGTAAGGGTTTTGCATGATTATTTATAAAAAAATAAAATAAAAATAATATGACAAGTCAATGGGTTAGGTTCGTGGGTCATTCAAAATTCGAAACCTGTTACACAAACTAAATATCAATGGGTTTAAATGGGTTGGTTCGAGTTAGATGCGTACATGATTAGGTTGATCTAAAATTAGGGTTGGGTTGGGTTGGGTGAGTGGGTTCGCGGGTTTACCCCTACCCATGAACACCCTTAGATGTAATAACCATATGTTGGAGTTAAAGCTTGGTTCTTTTAATTTGATGCAAATTTTAGGGAATTTGTCAAGCTAGGTGATAACTCAACAATGTCTGTTATGGGAAAAAGGAATGTGAACCTGGGCATTAGCCACAAGGCACATGTTATAAATGATGTCTATTACATACCAGGTTTGATAAATAATCTTCTCAGCATTAGTCAACTTCAACAGAAGAAACTAACTGTTGTATTCAAGCTGGATTTTCTCCAATTTTTTCATGAATATAAGGGTATGATATTGACTACAAAGATGTCTCAGAATAGGATGTATGTGATCCATGCAAAAATCATCAATGCCTGTGTGTTTTCAGATAACTAAACAAATGGAATCTCAACTGTGGCATATTAGGTAGGCACATTTGAGCTTCAAGGGATTAGACACACATGTGAAGAAGGAAATGGTGAGATGTTTTACAAGTAGGGTAAACATAAAATAAAGATGAATTTATTGCTTGATAGGAAATAAACACATAGATCCCATACCTAAGCAAGCTACTAGGAGATCCAGTGCAAAGCTGAAGCTTGCCCACTATGATATTTGTGGGCCTATCAAGCCCGAGTCACTTGGAGGAAACATGTATTTATTCACCTTCTTAAATGATTCCAGTAGGAAGACTTGGGTTTATTTTCATAAAGAAAAGTAAAATGAATTTGATGTCTTTAAAAGATTCAAGGCATTGGTTGAAAAATAATCCAATTGCCTAATTCATTACCTCAGAATTGACAAAGGTGGAGAATTCACATCAAATGTGTTCAATGAATTTTGTAGCTTGCAAAGGATTAAGAGACAGTTCACCATTGCATATACTCCAAAACAAAATAGAGTACATGAAATGAAAAATAGGACTCTCATGAGTATGGTTAGAAGCATGCCATCATGTAGAAATGTTCCCAAACATTTCTGGACTGATGTAGTGAGATGTGCCACTTATGTCACGAATAGAAGTCCTACATTTACAGTAAAAAACATGACCCGTGAAGAATATCAGAGTGGAAAAAATCCATCAATACATCACTTCAAAGTGTTTAGCTGTGTTGCTCATGCTCATATCCATGACACACAAAGAAGGAAATTGGATGGCAAAAAATGTGCAATGTATGAATCTTAGTGTTTGTGAGGAATCCAAAGCCTACAAGTTGTATGAACAAGTTAAAGGAAAATTCACCATCAGTAGAGATGTTGTGTTTGAAGAAGAAAAATGTTGGAATTGGAACAAAAAGGCTCAAGCAAGCCTTAAAGATTCACAAGTCCAAGTAGAAGATGAGAGTGAAGCTAAAATTCAAGAAATACTTGGTGCAATAACTCCAAGAGTAATAGAAATTCAACTGAAGAACTTGTTCAAGAACCTGTAGATGGTCATACAAATGAAGAGAATGATGGAAGAACATAAAGCATTGAAGAACCTAATGATCCAATTTATAGAATCAGAAAACCTCCAAGGTATCTCAATGACTATTTGGCTAGTTTAGAAAATGAAGAGGAGGATCAACTGTATAACTTTGTAGTCTTTACATAAAATGGGGATCCTACTAGCTATATGGAAATTGTCATATTAGAGGTATGTAGGAAATCAATGGATCTTGAAATAGAGTCCATAGAGAATAGTGATACTTGGGAATTAACAACACTACCCAAAAACCTAAAGACCATTGGTGTAAACTAGATCTACAAAACAAAGTACAGTGAAAAGGGAGAAGTGGAAAAACATAAAGCTAGGTTAGTGGAAAAAGGATATTCTCAAAGGTAAGGTATTTGTTTTAATAAAGTGTTTGCTCCCGTGGCTAGGTGGGACACCATTAGAACCATACTAGTTGTAGCAACAACTCAAAATTGGTGTGTGTTTCAACTAGATGTAAAAAGTGCCTTCCTGCATGGTGAGCTATCTGAAGATGTTTACATAAGCCAACTTGCAGGATATCACAAAGGCAAGCTTGGAATGGTGTATAAGCTGAAGAAATTCCTTTATAACCTAAGACAAGCTCCAAGGGCCTGGTATAACAAGATATACTCGTATTTTTGTATTGACAAATTTTTGAAATATACTTATGAGCACACTTTTTTTTTGGTTAAACATTGAATTGAAAGGAAAATTCTCATTGTCAGGTTGTATGTATATGATCTTACCTACACTGGAAATGACCTTCAAATGATGGATAAATTTGAGCAGTCAATGAAAGGAGAGTTTTCCATGACTAACTTGGGAAGGATGGGGTATTTTTTGGGAATTGAAGTGAAGCCGGGAAATGATGGGATCTTCATACATCAACAAAAGTATGTTGAAGAGATCCTATCAAGATTTAGCAATGGATGGACGCAATAAGGTATGCAGTCCTATTGTTTAAGACAACAAATTAGTGAATGATGAAAATGGTAATGCCGCTGGTGCCACAATTTACAAATAGATGGTAGGAAGTTTAATTTTCCTTCTAGAAACAAGACTAGACATGGCATTTTCTGTGTGCTTGGTGGTCTGATACATGGAAATACCCATAAAAATGAATGTTGCTGCAGTCAAGAGAATCCCGAGGTAACTATAAGGCACCTTAGACTTTGGCATCCTGTGCAAGCATGAAGGCACAACCAACTTCCAATTGCTAGGATGTACTAACTCTGGTTATACATGAGATGGAAATGACAAGAAAAACACCTTAAGTCACGTGTTCAAGATGAGATCAAGATCAACCTCATGGTCCTCGAAAAAACAACCAATAGTCACATTATCAATAACAGAAGCACAATTTGTAGTTGCTGCCTCATGTGTTTGCCAAGGAGTATGTCTAAGAAATGTGTTGTCTCATTTGAAAGTGCCTCAAAATCAAGGGTCAATCATCTTTTGTGACAATAATTCCTCGATCAAGTTGTCAAGGAATCCTATCATGCTTGGAAGGTACAAGCATATAGATGTTAGGTTTCATTTCTTGAGAGACTTGACTAAAGATGAAGTCATTGAGTTGAAGCGCTACAACACACGAAACAAATTGGCTAACATCCTTACTAAGCTATTGAAGCTTGGGTCATTTGTCTAGATAAGGGAAGGCTTAAAAATGGAATCATTAACTAGTATTAGTTGATTTCTTTGGAGAAATCAAAGTAAATGAGGGATTGTTGTATATTCTTGTTAAGCATTGTTTAGCATTGGTTCTTAGTTAGTTAAGAGTTAGTTGCAACATTATTTGTTTCTAAGTAATGCTTACTACTCTTTGTGTTACATGTATAAGTATTAGTTTGTACTCATAACATATCAATGAAAACTTTGGCATTCTAATTCAACATATTTATGTCCAGGATGAGTTATGAGGATGTACTCAAGTCACCATATAATCGAAGTATGACTGAATGAAACATCAATGGTATCATCAATGGTATCATCAATGATACATGGATATAACGGTTGTATTGAATATTGATTCGTCATGATTAAACTCTTTTGTTCTTAGGAAATTATTTCTCTAGTCGTATCAACTTGGAGATAGAATGATCCATGTGTCAGATTTATTTGATGTTATGATGCATAAGTTAACGTCATGCCTAATATTTGTTGATGTTTGATATTTAATTGTTATTAAATATTTGTTACATACATTCAATATTATTTTACTCCGTTATCTAATATCTTTGAGAATAATGACTCAAATTCATATGTTTTTCACGTGCTTCTGGATCATTTACACATGTAGATGACAACTGTAACAACCTCATCTCATTTAACAACACTATCATATTCAACCTTTTTTGTCCTCCTTTGCTTCAACTCCGTAGAAATTGAATATAATATGATAAAAATAGAAAAGTACTATGATTCTACCACTCGAACTACCAATTTAGCTACTAACTCAAAATTTTGATGGGAGTGTTGAAGTAAAAGTACACATTTTCTAACTATTGGATTCAACTCTTGTGAAAAGAAAAAACTTGTAAATTTATGCAAGAGACAACAAGGTCAAATAATAAAGTTGATTGATGAGACCGAATTAATATAAAAATGACTTTTTGAGCATTTGAACACTATCAACCAACATTATAACTCAATTTTGTCACACCCTTTTGTCCTACATGAAAAATTAAAAAAAAAATACTAGTATTTTGACAAAGCAAATAATTTAAGAATAAAAGACAAAGAGAACACTTCAATTATTATCTATAAACAAAGTGTTAATAATTACTAAAAATTCACACAATCGTGAAAATCAAAATACATATAGCTTCACATTTTGTCAGCCAAACTAGAATTTGCAGAAAAACAGTTTAATTATTTTTACACTAACTATAAATTAAACTCTAAAGATTATTTTACTTTCTAAAAGTGATAAAAACAAAATACACATTTTTCACCTGCTTTGGTTCCGACCAAGCATTAGGCCGGTGGCAAATTATGTACCAAAAGAAAACAAACATATATCACCATAATTTCACATGGATGGCTGCACAATAAAATTTCCCATTCCACTTTCCACCCAACAACAAAATTGTTATTTCCACACCGACCCATGATTCAACCCTAAAAACATTCATAAAAATTAAAATTAAAATGCAAAAGTAAAAAAAAAATGTTTAATTAGAAAAGTTTCATTCCACTACCATGATAGGTCAAATACACGGCACAATAAAAAAATAACAGAAATTAAAATTCCATTCCACAGGTCTTTGTTTCTTCACATGAGAATCAGAACATCATCAAAGATTTTTCTAGTAAAAGTAAACACGTTTTGGTTTGGTCATAGGTATTTGTACCACACACAAAAATCACTAATTGCACCCTTCCACTATACTTCACAAACCCCTTCATCACCAAACACTATATTTAAGACTCTCATTCCCAAAAGCCATAACTCATCAATTCCAAACACACCCTTTTCTCTCTTATTGATAAAGATATAAACTTTCGTCAACCCAACTCACAGAAATCAAAAGGGTCGTCAAAATTCTTTGCTGTTGTTGTGGTTGTTGGAAGTTGAATCAGCATATATAACAGACCCAATTGTTTAATTTCTAAAAATCAAAATTTTTCTTCAATTTTGTAAGTATTTAGGCCAAAATATTTTGCATCTTTCTGTTAATCTTCTATGGCAACTTGGGTTTTATCAGAATGTGGTTTAAAGCCTTTTGGTCCAGTATTTTCCAAACCAAGAACTGGTTTTGCTGTTTCCAACAACTCAAAGGTTAGATTTTTAGGCACAAGCAAAGGAGTTTCGGATCTCAAATTGCAATTCCAACAAAAAAGTTTTGATTTTAAGGAGAAAAGAAAATGGGGTTTGAATGTGAGTACTCCTTTGAGAGTTGAGTCAATTGAACAACAACAGGAGGAACTTCCGGAGTTTGATCCTGCTTCACCACCACCTTTTTCATTGGCTGATATAAGAGCAGCAATTCCGAAGCATTGTTGGGTGAAGGATTCTTGGAGGTCTATGAGTTATGTTTTGAGAGATGTTGTTGTTGTTTTTGGTTTGGCTGCTGCTGCTGCTTATCTTAACAATTGGATGGTTTGGCCTCTTTATTGGGCTGCTCAAGGAACCATGTTTTGGGCACTTTTTGTTCTTGGACATGATTGGTAAATATCATTACAAGTTTTGTTTTTTACTTTTTAATTTGTTTTTTTCTGCCATGGTTGACTTTTGGAGTGTATGTTTTGGTTACAATGTTGTGTCTTTTCTTTGACTTTGATTGCTGTTTTGGAATTTTCAGTGGTCATGGCAGCTTTTCAAATGATGCTAATCTTAATAGTGTTGTTGGACATTTCTTGCATTCTTCAATTCTTGTTCCCTATCATGGATGGTATGTTTATGCTCTTATTCATATTCATTAGAGTTTCAAAATTATATTTGAAACAAATCAACGTAACACGAACACCAGACACGACACTGATATATCGACATTGGTAGTAATTTAAAAATAATAATAAATTAAACGTAATCACAAGTGCCGGTGTCTGACACAGACACAAATATGCTTTTTTCAAAGGTGTGAATGCTAGAGAGTTTGAAACTAATATTTGATCTTGATTATGCAGGAGAATTAGTCATAGGACTCATCACCAAAACCATGGCCATGTTGAAAATGATGAATCTTGGCTTCCGGTGAGAGGATAGATAGACATTAACATTACTTTTCAGTTTTTAAGAATACTTTTTGCCTTCAATCTTCCACCTAAAATGCTAATATAAGAACTGTATTTTTGCTAATTTTGCAGTTGACAGAAACATTATATAAGGGTTTGGACACTATAACACGTTCTTTAAGATTTACAGCTCCTTTTCCATTGCTCGCATATCCTGTGTACCTTGTAAGTTATTTTTGTGTACACATTTTGACCAGAATTTGTATATTAATTAGGTTTGGTAGAGGAATTGACTAGACTGTTGTTGTTTTTTGAATGCAGTGGACCCGGAGTCCTGGTAAGAAGGGTTCTCATTTCCATCCCGGCAGTGACTTGTTTGTTCCAAATGAGAAAAAAGATGTTATCACTTCTACGGCTTCTTGGTTGGCTATGGGGGCTTTGCTTGTTGGATTGGGATTTGCAATAGGTCCAATTCCATTACTCATGCTTTATGGAGTTCCTTATGTTGTAAGTTTCATATATACATATATTTTAAATTTCCGTGGTTGGATTTAAGAATGAAATCCTAATTTGACTTTGCTTTGAATTGAAGATCTTTGTCATGTGGTTGGATTTCGTGACATATATGCACCATCATGGTCATGAAGACAAATTACCTTGGTATCGTGGAAAGGTACATTTATATAATCTAACCTGGATTCTCTCCAGTCCATTCCATCAAATCTCGTCCGTTGGACCCAGATTGTACCTTAATCCAACAGGCGAGATATGTCTGCATTGATTGGACGGCCGCTATACTTTTTGGTTTGTTAATTGTGTCTATTCAGTCAAATCTCGACCGTTGAATCAAGATTGTACCTCGATTCATTAGGCGAGATATGACTACATTGGTTGGACGACCATTATGCTTTTTGGTTGTTGTGTCTATTCAGTCAAATCTCGATTGTTGGATCAGGATTATGCCTTGATCCAACAACTGCTATGTTTTTTGATTTGTTGATATGTTCATTTAATCAAATCTCGACTGTTGGATCTGGATTTTAGTTTACATATTTAATCTTCATCATGTTGAATAGGAATGGAGCTATCTTAGAGGCGGACTTACTACTCTTGATCGCGATTACGGATGGATCAATAACATTCACCACGACATTGGAACTCACGTCGTTCATCACCTTTTCCCTCAAATTCCACACTATCATTTAGTTGAAGCAGTGAGTTTCACTCTCTACTTTAACAATGTATATATATTGATTTGTTTTAAGTTCGAGAGTTCTGAATTTTTCTCTGCCTTGCAATTGCTTGCAGACCGAGGCAGCTAGGCCTGTGTTCGGAAAATATTACAGAGAGCCAAAGAAATCTGCTCCTCTTCCATTTCACCTTATTGGAGAATTTATAAGGAGTCTAAAGAAAGATCATTTTGTTAGTGACACTGGTGATATTGTATATTACCAAGCAGATCCTGAACTTAGTGGCTCTTCTGATGAAAATTAATATTGAACTTTTGTCATATAGTTAGTGCAATTAGTAGAATTTACTTCATAAAAAAAGTCATTGATGGAAATTAAAGAATATGTAGGGTATAAGATTATTATCCTTCCTTTCTAACTGGTGAATTTTGTAAATTGATTATTCTTCATGAAGGGAGTGATATTCTGAGTTATATGATGAAGTTACAGTTAATTGAAGCACTTTGGTTCATTGATAATTTTGAATATAATTTGTCATTGTTTATTTTTAACTATTGCTTTGTGAAGTTGTTAAGAATGTAGCCATGTTTTTGAACTTTTTTGTTTGCTTTTCTATTTTTTTTATGAATAGACCCAACCTATGTTTGTTGTTTTATGCCTTGTTACTGTCATGTTCTAAATGATCTGCTTTTCTTTGTTTCGTCGCTTTGGGCTATTATGTTTGATTAATGCTGAAAAAAGTCAAGTACATGTTTTAGAGCTCAGGTTACCGTGTGCGATCACTATAGCTCTTTCACGGTAGGAGACCTTTTTTTTTTTGTTCAAGTTTGATTATGGTCATTGAATTAGATGATGGTATGGGACACCCCCAACACATTATATAACACTCCTAATATTCTATTTTCTGTTTTGATTATACAAATGAATGAAAAAGCTGCAATCAATGATATTAAAATGATGCTGCAGCCAATGATGAGATGTAACGTTGCAACCATCCATTCCCACATGAAAAATTAAAAGATCTTGCATAATTTTTAAACGTACGTTAGTGATCAGGACTGAGTCTGTGCTTACTCCACTGTTGGAGAGGCCTAATCTAACATCCTTACATAAGGTCCAAAGGCAAATAATTCAAGTTGGGGATCGTTGGGCAATTCCCCACGTGTCTGTTGGGGAACGTGACCCACGTGTCCGTATCATCGCCATCATATCTGTCCTTCGGGAATCACGGGTCTAACACCTGTTCTCTCGGAGCAGTTGACCAGGGGAGAGTCCACGTGCTGGACTCCATACACACGTAAGTCTTGACAGTTTTCATTGTTGGGCCTCATCGTGGCCCAACATTGGAGACCTTGCCCCAATGCTGGGGGCTATAAATACCCTCTCTCTTGAGAGGGTCAAGTATTGATTCTTTAACTCACATACTCTCATACTTACTTTAGCATCAGAGTATCTTGCAGGTATTGTAACACCCTCTAAAACCCCGAATAAAATTTCGCAAATAATTAAAATTATAATTTCAGAGTACATGTATTAACGAGGATGTCACAATTCTCTTTTAATAAAAATAAGTTCCTGTCATGCATAACATAGAAGCAACTCATACATGTTTACACAGCGGAATAATTTAATTAACAAAACCAATGTTATAATATTTTTAAAATCATCAGGGATTAACACCTGGAAAATATCAACATCATATTATAACAAACATAAGGAAATAAACGAGTCTGACTAAAACAGCTCGACAAACAAACGTTCCCGGAGTTACAACTACCAGAGCATGACCCGGACAATACTTAAACGGAAATAAACTAGAAACAACAAGCCTTCGCCAAGCACCTGAACGAAGCTTCTCAATCTGAAATATTCAACAGTAAGGGTGAGCATCTCAACTATACATTTGATTATACGTTCATAACAATAAATTCAGAAAATCATAAGCATCACCCAAACAGTTAGCATGTTTCATAGTTTACGAAAACCTTTACAATTCATATATTCATAATATATCACTTTTCATACTTATAATTAGCATCCAACATCATTAACAATTTAGCAGCAATACATGCATACAATCAATTAAATACAACATTGGAAGGTCATCCATTCATGTTATATTCAATATAATGCAACACACCCATGCATGTGGTACCATTTTACCGCCCCATTAAATCTCGGGTCACGGATAACTCACCGTTCCATTATATCGCGGACACGGCTACCACCTCAACGTTCCATTAAATCGCGGACACATATATTGGCCACCATGTTAATTCCACACAATGGGAATTAACAAATGCAACATGATATGTAAAGTATGTAACACTCAGCATACTATTAACATCAATCAACATATCATGCAACATCAACAACATCAATCATAACAGGATATGGATAGCATGTAATCACTCAGCATACTATTAAACATCAATCATATCAAGTTATATCATAATTCATGCTTGACACATCATCTAAAAGCATGACAATAAAATCCATATAGTGTTGGTATCATAACATACAATCGTTATTCGATACAAGCATCAATCAACACTAGGAAATCAATAAACACATATTCAAAACATGTCAAACACTGCACATCAAAACAGGATCAACCCGTACATAACAGCATGCACAGAAAACAGAGTTTAAAAACCAACACAGAAGGTTTAACACGGGTGCCCGTGTAAATCAACACTGCCCGTGTGGAAATGTGTCCAGAAAACGCATTATTTTGCCAATACAGGGGATCAACACGGGTGCCCGTGTGAATCAACACGGCCCGTGTGGAAATGTGCCCAGAAACACATTTTTTTGGCAACACAGTGAATCAACACGGGTGCCCGTGTGAAACAACACGGCCCGTGTTGATGAGCGCGGGTCAGATTTTTCCTGAACCTGCAGCAGCTCAGAACAGCAGCCAAACGCGAAAAATACCAGCCAAAACGCGCATTTCGGTACCTAACGACATCGATTTTGTATAACTCAAAACAACACATCAATTTCCTAATTACCAACAATCATCATAGTAACCTTAAAAGTGATTATTCGTCCTCTTGGGGGAAATCTGATAACATCAAGGTCATCCCTAGAACACCTAAGGTAAATTCACGATCATACAGATATACTCCAAATCCACCATTAGGAACCTAAAATCGTTAATTGATTTCATAAAATTGGGAACCTAAACCTTTTCTAACAAGGTTCAATCCTAAGGGTATTGATCCCTAAGAACATCTAACAATTGGGGTTTCTCCCTACGATTATCCAAATTAACCGTACCTAAACCCATAAGCAAAAGTAAATCGAGTAGTAGCCCCCCTTACCTTATCAAATTGCAGCTTGAGTTCTTCGAGCGATGTTCTTCGTTCTTCGTACCTTCAGAGCTCAGCTTCCCAAATATCCCAAATTCTGTGTTATCGTGAATAATGAGAAAAATAACTTGAGTTCCAAAACATATCCTTATTCCTTTTGCACCCCCACTCTTTACTAACAACATCCAAGCCCAATAACTTAAAAACCCAATATTTCTTATTTCTTTTATTTTCTTCAAATATTCCAAAATAAATAATTTCTTTTTATTTTATTAATTCTAATAAAGTAATTTCCCAATTAAATAAATCAAATAATTGAAACTGGGGTGTTACAACTCTCCCCCACTAAAAGAGTTTTCGTCCTCGAAAACATACCTTAGACGAACAGTTCCGGATAAGCCTCTTTCATCTGGCTCTCCAGCTCCTAAGTGATATTTCCATCTGCTGAACCTCCCCAAGCAACCTTCACTAATGCTATCTCTTTACCTCTTAATTGTTTCACTTCCCGATCTTCTATCCTCATAGGCAATGTTTCTACTGTCAGGTTATCTCTCACCTGTACATCATCTATTTGGATTACATGAGATGGGTCTGGAATGTATCTCCTCAACTGAGAAACATGAAAAACATCGTGCAAATTCGCAAGTCTCGGAGGTAAAGCAATACGATAAGAAACTTCTCCAACTCTTTTCGTAATCTGAAACGGACCAATAAAACACGGAGTCAACTTCTTAGATTTCAACGCTCGACCAATACCCGTCATCGGAGCAACTCTCATAAACACATGATCTCCAGCACTGAATTCTAAATTCTTTCTCCTCTTATCATGATAACTTTTCTGACGACTCTGAGAAGCTCTCATCTTCTCTTGAATCAATTTGATCTTTTCCGTAGTCTGCTGAACAATCTCTGGCCCAATTACTGAACTCTCTCCAAATTCATACCAACACAAAGGCGTTCTACACCGTCTACCATACAATGCCTCAAACGGATCCATACCAATACTCGAATGGTAACTATTGTTATAAGTAAATTCAATCAATGGCAAATAGCTATCCCAAGCCCCGCCCTTCTCTAAAACACAAGCACGTAATAAATCTTCTAACGATTGAATCGTCCTCTCCGTCTGTCCATCAGTCTGAGGATGGTAAGCTGAACTCAACCTCAATTTAGTACCCAAAGCCTTCTGCAATCCTTCCCAAAATTTCGAAGTGAATCTCGGATCTCTATCTGACACAATACTAGAAGGAACTCCATGCAAACTCACTATTTTCTCAATATATAACTGTGCCAATCTCTCCATTGAGTAATCCATTCGCACCGGTATAAAATGAGCAGACTTAGTCAGTCTATCCACAACAACCCATATCGCTTCACAATTCTTAGGAGTCCTCGGCAACCCGGATACAAAATCCATAGAAATACTATCCCACTTCCATTCTGGAATAAACATCGGCTGCATAACTCCAGACGGCTTCTGATGCTCAATCTTCGATTTCTGACAGATTAAACATACATACACAAATTCAACTATTTCCTTTTTCATTCCCGGCCACCAAAACAATTTCTTCAAATCATGATACATTTTCGTGGCACCCGGATGAATACTCATCCCACTGCGATGTCCTTCCTCTAATATACTCTTCTTGATTTCTGCGACATCAGGAACACAAACTCTATCGCCAAATCTCATAACATCATTCTCATCAATTCTAAACTCACCACCTTGATCTTGGTTGATCAATGTCAATTTATCAACTAAATTAACATCGGATTTCTGCCCGATCCTGATCTCTTCTAGAATACCACTAGTAAGTTTCAACATACCCAAACGAACACACTTCGGAGTACTTTCACAAATTAAACTCAAATCTCGGAATTGTTCAATTAAATCCAATTCACGAACCATCATCATAGACATATGCAAGGATTTCCTGCTCAAAGCATCTGCAACCACATTTGCCTTACCAGGATGGTAATTCAAACCAAA